AGAGAGCAATGACTCAGTGATTGCTACGGGCTCCAAACCCAACCGGCAGCGCGCACGTCTGGCGCATCAGCGAGCCGGGGAGCTCAGCTGGGAAGTCGTGCCCTGCAGGGACCCTCCAACGCAGTCACCGGCGTGGACAGGCAGGAAATCAGGAGATCGAGTCCCCATGTGCTGGCTCTGCCTGAGCTGGAGTTCATTTTGCCCTCACAGGGCTGTGTATCAGTGGCTGGAAGGGGGTTTATAACACCCCGGTGTTTTGGCTACTGCTCAGCAGGGCTCGCAGCATCAAGGCTGCCTCCAACATTCCCCCCTCACCAGGAGGCCGGGGGTGGGCATGATCCTGGGAGGGACTGCCAGGACAGCTGCCCCAAACTGACCAAAGGGATACTCCACACCACATAAAAGCCCAGAGACAGGAGGAAGTGGGGTGGATATTTGTTATGACATTTGCCTTCCGGAGCAGCCACTATGTGTGTACTGAAGCCCTACTTCCTGGGAAGCGGCTGGACATCGCCTGCTGATGGGAAGTAGAGAATAAATCTTTTGTTTCCCTTTGTTTCTGCACATGACCTTTGCTTTTGCTTTATTAAACTGCCTTTACCTTGACTCATGAGGTTTTTTTCCATCCTAGGGTCTCCCGTCCCATCCTGCTGTGGAGGGGAGTGATAGAGTGGCTTGGTGGGCACCCGGGGTCACAGAATCCCAGAATGGTTTGGGTTGGAAGGGACCTTCAAAGACCATCCAGTCCCACTCCTGCCATGGGCAGGGACACCTTCCACTAGTCCAGGTTGCTCCAAGCCCCATCCAACCTGGCCTTGGGGATGGGGCAGCCACAGCTTCTCTGGGCAACCTGTGCCAGGGCCTCCCCACCCTCAGAGTAAATTATTTCTTTCTTATAACTAATCTAAATCTTCCCTTTTCTAGTTTAAAACCCCTGCCCCTCATCCTGTCACTAAAGGCCCCGGACTGAAGTCTCTCTCCATCTTGCAGTCCGGAAGATGGACTCCCAGAGAAAAGAAGTAGAGGCACCACCCAACTTTCAAACTTCGGTCTCAAGATGTAAATTTTAGGTGACTTTCCAGCCAAGCTCAGCCCATCACACCCTTTGATGCTCCAAGGAGGCTGGGAAGTCATTTGGTGCAGACAGACAGCCCTGCAGACAGAAAACAGGACTGGATGGAAGGCAGCTGCCAATGGAATATGACTGCTGTGCTTTCTGGCTTTAGAAGGAAGGGCCTGAGATGTGCTTTGGAGACACAGTAGCCCCAACTCTTCTCCAAGGTGGGTAAGAGCTGGTGGCCCACCACGAAGCTCTGCCCGCTGGGCCCCAGCACATCCAGCAAAGGGACTGCTGCCCACAATCTGTTATTTACACTCCTGACTCACTCCTTCCCTTTCCCCTGAAACAGAAAAGTATTTACAGTCAAACTTGAATTCCCCTGAATGTCTCCAGGAGCCACGTGAGCTGAAAGGTCAATCCTCAGTCAGGAAACCAGGTCCTCGTGCTAAGAACCCCCCAGCCCTTCCCAACCACTCCTTGGGCATGGGGTGAAGGAACCCGTAAAATATCCTTGCAAAACCTTGGATACAGGGCACAGAGGGCTTCTGCTTCGGATGTTTTATGGAGGTCTGACCTGCAGCAATGCAACAGGTTGAGACAACAAGCCTCAGCCACAAAGGTTTCTCCTGGCAAAGTCAAGTCATCACCAGATGTGGTCTGCACACGGTTGTAGCTGCACCTCACCCCCTCTTCTCCTACACAGTCTTAAAATACCACGTGATTATTAAGTAAAGTAGCCAGCACCAGCCTTCCTCTTCTCTGCTGGGATTAACAAAGCAGGAACAGCCCATGCCTGCAGGACATGCTGGGGTGACAAGTCCCTCCATCCCCTGTCCAGTGGGGAACCCTCCAGGAACCAACATCCTCTGAGGCACTTTACAAAAATGACATGAAGAGAGGAAGGGCTCAAACTCACACCTCGGACTCCAAACAAACCTAAAGTTTGGGCTGCTGGAGAGAGGATAAATCACCTGGAAGGGACAACACCTGTATGCATTTAAGCCTTAATATGCATCTAAAGTGTCAAGAGGAACAAGGGGGAACTGAGCAACAGGACAAGGGTCAGGTTGCATCTCCTGGCCCAGGGAAGAGCCCTGTAAGCACTTCCGAGCTCCTCAACATGGTCACCCTGCACTATGCCAGGGGATAACACCCCAAAGCCATTCAGAGCATTGAAGACTCTCAATTTTGTAGCAACACATGGCTCAATCACCAGTTCCAACCCAGCAAAGAGGCCCCAAGAGCTGGGGAAGGGAAGTCAGGAGGTGCCCAGCTGTCACTCACAGCCCACATTGCATTCCTAAGAAGGAATTCCCCTTCTCAGAACAAAGATGTTTGTCCCTGGCACCTCAGAATTTTGCAGGGTCACCCTGATGCACCAATAAACTCACGCTGGCAGGATGGGGGGAAGGAGGAAGCACTGCAAATTCCTGTTCTGCTTATCTGCCCCCTCCTCCCCTACATGGAAACTGGATGCTCCAAACCCTGTCCTGTTCAGGGGAGCCTGGAGATGTGTGTGGCTCATCCTGCCATCCCAGTTTGTACTACACAGCAGTGCAGGTTGTGTAAGAGCTATTCCTGTGTGGAAAAAAGCCTGTTTTGCTGCTCCTGAACAACATCCTGTGATCCAAGGCGGGACAGACAAGGCTGGGATTTGGACATGGAGCAGCAGCTCACGAGTGGAGGGAGCTGTACCAGCAACCTGGGAACTACATGCCAAGACAACATGAACAAGCAATGCTATCCCCACCAAAACCACGGAGAGGAGGCCAAGGAAAAGGACATCCCAGGACTGCGCTGCTGCCACAGCCCCTATCAGAGGTGCAGGTAAGCTAAGGTGTGGATTTTGGCACAATCAGCATCCCTGGAGCTCTGCAGAGCACCTTCCATCCCCAAGGACCCCTGCCAGACCTTCAGCCTCCCCTAAAATACACCCCTTAAACGCGCACAGTTGCATAATATTCCTAACACCTAAGAACTCGCCGACAGAAATAACTTTTCCTGCTGCACAAACCAGCCCCAACTCCAGGCAAGGACGGCAGGAACAGCTTCCCCCGGGGCCGATGATGACGGAGGGTGCCCGTGGGAGGATGTCCCCGTGTCCCCCACCACGGTCGCCCCCCGGGAGCCGCTTCCCGCTGCCCATTCTGGTGTTTTCCAGCGGCGGTTTCCCAACGCACACCCCGAGCAGGCAGGGCCGCAGGCCATTAGCCCCTCCTTTCTCCACCAGCTTCCGCACACAGATACTCCTGATTTCATCACTCTTTGCTCTCCGAGGCAGGAGGGCTGAAAGGCGCAGTGCAACAGCCCCGCTTAACACGCGCTGGGAGAGCCCTGGGAAAGAGGTTTCACGGCTGCGATCCCCCCCCATGGAGAGGCACCTTCCAGCTGAACGCGCCTGAAAATCATCCTGGGCAAAGCCAGGAAGGGATAAACCTCCATGGATCCAACCCCCTGCCCCAACTGCTTGTCTCCCAGACAAGCCTCCGGGTCTGAAGTGTTTGCACTCCTGCGCCTACACGAAAATATAACACCCAGGAGGGGTTGTGAAAACGGGGATTTACCTGCCTACTCACGCTCACACCAAGCTGGGAAGGGGATGGGATATTTTTAGGAATATGGATCTGACCACCTGGAGGTCTCTTGGACCCCTCCAGACCAGGACAGCGCACAGTTTACATCAGGCATCAGCTTAAAAAAGCTCCCAAAGCAAGATTTCCCTCAGCAAACTGAAGTGCTCCGTAAGCACAAGAGCTGCCCTGAGTGTTATTAAACCACTGATGGTAATTGAGGAGCAAAATTTAAAAACAAAACCAAAACAACAAAAACAAACCAAATCACCCTCCTCACCAGCTCCAGGCAAACATTTCGCCTGCCCTCTTGGCTTTATCAGCACTGACAGGACCGGGGCCAGCTCAGCCCCTGCACTGCCAGGAGTGCGGAGCAGTTACATCACATCGCTGGTTTGGGGTGATTCGGTTGGCATGGATCCAGCTCCAGAAGTTTGGAAAACACTTTGTCAACAACAAACACCCCCGCCCCGGCAGGCTGATGCTTTCCCAAGAGCAGGTGACTTTTTCCAGCCCTGCTGCCCGTTATCCTTAATGCGGGAATCCTCCGGACGCTTTGCAGCAGAGAGGCAGCTGCCCACCCCGGTTCGCTGCAGAGGGGGAGGAAGGGGAGGCTGAAGCACCGGGAGGTTTTTTAAGTGACTTCTCCAAGGTTACAAAAGGCGTCTGTGGTTGAGAGAGGAAGAGAACAACCCGGACGCTTCTGCCCTGAGTGTCAAAGCAATCCCCTGGTCCAAGCAGGGGATGGTCGGGGGTCATGGAGCATCTTCAGCCCCGCTCCCGGGCAGGGAGATGAGCGAGTCTGTGGGAGCAGAGGGGCTGAGGTGCCACTGCCTGCCAGGCCCGGGGCAGAGACCCAAGGTCGTGGGCAGAGGGGTGCCCACCCCAGCCCAGCAGGCCTGGATGGGGTGTACAGGACATTTAGGAGAATTTACCCTGGGATGTTTGCGGTAGTCACACCCTGAGATGCTCAGGAGGGTCTCTCCTTGGGATGCTCACAGGGGTCACTCCTTAGGATGCTCAGGGATGTCTGTCCTGTTCAGCTGGGAGGTCCTACCCTGGAATGCTTGAGTGGCCATCTCTGGGATGCTCAGGGGGTCTCTCTCCTTGGGATGCTCAGGGGGTCACTCCTTGGGATGCTTGGGGATGTCTGTCCCATTTGGCTGGGGAGTCCCACCCTGGGATGCTCGGGGGGGTCCCCCCTTGGGATACCTGGGGCGTGACTGTTCCATGTGGCTGGGGGGTCCCGCTCTGTGATGCTCGGGGGGGGTGTCCCTCCTTCAGACACTCCAGGCCCTGCTCCATGATACCGGGAGCCCCTCCCCAGCCGCCTTCCCCGTGACCCCCCCCCCACGCCGCCGCCCACCTACCCAGCTTCATGAGGCAGGCCAGGAGGATCCACAGGGAGATCTCGAAGGGGATGCGGACGTGCGTGTAGTCGATGCCCAGCACGGGGAAGGCTTTGCGGGGCTTGTGGTGCCCCTCTCCCGAGCCGTTGGCCGGCTGCTCCTTGAGGGGGTGGATCACCTCGGGGGCCGCGGGGGGCGCGGGGGTGAAGCCCCCGATCTCTCCGGCGGGCAGCGGGGCGGGCTGGCCCGGCGAGGGCTCGGAGGTCACCATGGGGTTGGCCTGCAAGCCCTGCCTGGGCAGCAGCGGCCCCAGCAGCAGCAGCGCCCAGGGCAGGGCGCGCAGGGCCGCGGCGCCCATGGCGGCGGGCTCGGGGG